AGGCACTTGACTGCTAACCAGAAGGCTGGCGGTTCAAACCCACCAGCCACTCCTCGGAAGGAAGATGGGGCAATCTACTTCCGTAGTGATATTGCCTCAGAAACCCAAGGAGGGGTCGCTATGAGTCGGGTCCGACTCGACGGCACATAACAACAACAACAACAACAGTTTAAATGAAGTTAAACAAGTTCCTTAGTACAGACTTCTCTGGTCCTTTACATGTAAGCAAGTGTGGTGACTTTGGGGAGAATAGGGTCAGGGGTGGCAGGGGACCATGTATACCATTTCCCAAACTTAGTTGTCCATAGAACCCTTTTCTCATGCATAATATCAGGACCCCAGCTTTCCAGTAAATGTAGCTGTATTCTCTCAGAGAGAACAAGAAAGTTGACCTATTTACTAAACTTTGTCAGTTTTCTGCACATCTAATCTCTTTGCACTGTAGTGCTAAGTAAAAGGAAGAGGGAGGCTGTGCCCTCAGACACTGACTCTTCAGACCCCTCTCTCAAAATGACCTCTCTCGTACATTCCACAAAACAGAGAGCATTTGCATGCAACAGTTTCTCTGGAAGGGATAGTATTATCTCTTCACTTTCCTCCTAGCAGACAGGAAGAAGAGAAGCAGTACCGAAGGATTTGGCAAGCTTGGATGGGATGCCAGGGCCTTTGACAAAGGCCAGAGAGAAGTAGGAAGATAAGCCATCAGGAGATGGTAGACAAGGGTAAAGGGGAAGTAGGAGGAAGCACTAGGGCTAATGAAAAGTCTCTCCTTTGGCACATAGGATGCTGATACCTGGGCTAGATGCCCAAAGGAATTATTCAGATGTGAAAGGAGATTAACGTCTAATGATACCAGGTTGTTGTTGGGTGCTGTGGAGTCAGTTCCAACTCACAGTGACCCCATGTGACAGAGGAGAACTGCACTACAAGTTTTTGTTTTTTAACTTTTTATTGTGATTTGGGTGGATGTTTACAGAACAGATTGGTTTTCCATTCAGCAGCTCATAGACACTTTGTTTTGTGACATTGACTGCAATCCCCACAATGTAACAGCACTCTTCCCATTTTCTCTCTACCTTCTGAAGGTTTGTCCTGGGCTGCCCTTTTGATCTTATATGGTTGATTATTCTAATGAAAAAGTACCTACCTGAGGAGATCCTTGATAGAGAGGGAGAACAATGTGGAACAAAACTCAAAATCATTTGGAGGAAAAAAAGGGGGGGGGATCAGGTTTGCTAGTCCGATAGAGCCTGGTGGAACCACTGAGACTGTGGCCTCTAGCTGCCCATCAGGTCTGGAATTGAACCTACACCCGTGACTTCCAGCCAAACAAAAGACAGGCATATGAGTTGAACATTTACCTCAGGTAGCTACACTCCTTTGAGAGAA